CAACTCACGGCAGCCCAGCTCCAGGTTGAGCTGTTGTTCAGCATCTTAGCTGTGGAGGGCAGTGTCACTGGCCCTCATATGTGGGATCTGAACTGGAGCCCTCTGGTGTCCCAAGCCAGCTCTTAACCAACATGTCACTTGGCCAGCCCAGTTGTTTAATATTTTTCTGGATAGATTGCTTATCTAAATCTCCAGTCCTAAAATTGCCCCATCATTACTTATTTTTAAGAAAACCATAATTAGACTTAGCCCTCCAAAAGCTAGTAAACCCTCATCATGGCATGCATCTAAAACATGCTTCTCCTTCAATCCATTCCCGACTCTCTTTATTCTATCAGTTCCACGATACAAGGCACCTTCATTATGGTCACCTACACCTCCTCCTTTTTTACCTTAGCCACTCTATTCCCACCAAGCCCCAAACTCCAGCATGACATAGCTCATTATGCCCCATGAACATCTTGCTTAGTTGTAACTATAACTGTCACTAATTAAAACAATTTCATCATGATATCTCAGCAGAAATTAGAAAAACTTCTAGAACAAAGCTTCTCAAACTTTAGGGTACATCAGAGTCACTAGGAGAGCGTGTTAACATTCAGATTCCTGGGTTCCACTCCCAGAAGCTTGGATTTACAAGGTCTGGGGTGAGTCTTGTGAATGTGCATTTCCATTAAGCTCCCAGGCCAGATGGGATGTTGATGCTTCTGGTCCACAGACCACTCTCTCATAGTGAAGGTCAAAAGGGCCTTTTCAAGGCGCCTCAAGGAAGCTTCCTGCCTGAGCTGAGGTCCAGTAAGGGACAACAAATGATATCAGGACTAAATGTCCCATCTCTTGGAGCCTAGATTTAACCATCTGGGTCCCTTCAGGAACCTAGTATACACCTTGGGAGAAGTAGGAGAAGGGAAGAGGAAAGAACCATGAATGCGACTGAGACTTGAACACAAAAAGACTAGCTCTAAACTAGAATTGACTGAGTTCATTTGGATTGACAAATTCAAGTTTTCCAGAGACAGTGAGCTAATCTGAATTCAGTGGTAGCACAGTTACGCCTTTAGCTGATCTGAGTGTAGTGAATGTAAATTATTCAATCTATTACATTAATTATAGTTATTTGTACAAATGACTTACCAGATAGAACCAATTATGCAAAATAACAACAATGTTCATCATTAAATTAGCACCAGATTAACTCTGTTATTTTTTGTTCATTACGATATTAAATTTATCCACATAGGTTCGTTGTTTGTAGTTTGCTACTCAGCATGGTTATCTATACGTGATTTGAAAGGTAGAAAAATTGAAAGGCAGGTAAATTGTTTGGTGATCACCAAACAATTTAATATAGGCTATCTCTAGAATTGCCTTATCCACTATTAGTTCCTTTTAAAAGAAAGAAGGTTAATTCACTAAACAGCAGTTACCAAATGCAATCTAGTAAAGATAAAGAAACAGAACATGGTCAAGGGTTTGAACTGATCCAATAACAAACTGGAAGTAGTTTTCAAAACGATAGAAACAAAAAGTATATATTTTAAGTCAACAAGTACAGATGTGTTCCAGCAACATTAGATGTGAGAAATATTATACACAGCTGAAAACATGGGTTCCCTACCCTAATAAATTTCAGGCTATGTCATATTCACTAGTGATTCTTTATTTACTTGCCTATTTTACTTCTCAAAAGCACTAGTCAAGCACAATTTCTTTATCCATAAATCATTTGTTTTTCCCCTAAAAGAATATTATTTATGTTCTTGGTTTTAGAATTCAATGAATTACCCCATGCGAGGATGAAACTGAATCACTTGTACATTCTTAAATCCTTTTAGATCTGCACTGCCATATGGCTATTTAAATTAAAATTAATTCAATTAAATAAAGAAATCAGTTCCTCAGTTGTACTAGCTATACGTCAATTGGCTACCATAATTGGGCAACACAAATTTAGACCATTTCCATCATCACAGAAGATTCTATTGGACTGCATTTATTGGATAGTTCTTATATAAGGAGTCACATAGTGGCCACATATAAAAATAGGTTACAAATTTTGGTGAACAATTATTGTCTTATTTAATATGCATGTGATGCCATCCATTACAAATAAGTTACTTACATTCTTTTGTCAATGCGGTCTACACTAGCTAAAATGCTGACCTATTGAATACGGTTTTAATTGGAACGTAAGCCAAAATGTAAGCCAAAATAATCACTTTTTTCATGTGTTGTTAGTAGCAAAATATATTGCTGGGAATGCATAATGAAAGTACCTAAAAAACAGCAATAACACAATAAATAATCAATTCAACATGGGAAACATCTTAAAGAAACTTACCCTCCTTCACTTTCCGCTTCCTCTGAACTATTACTTGTTCCCGAACTTTGAACTGTGGCAAGCCTTCTTTTTCTAGCTCTGTGCTGAGGACTTATCTTGTGAACAGTGGTCTTCCCTCCAAGTTCACCATGTATATATTCTTCCAGTTTTGGAATGGCTTCTTTAAGAACTCTGATTTCTGATTTCAGTTCTTCCACATTTGTCAGTAATTCATTTAACTTCTCCAGTATCTGAAGTTGCCTTCCTTGAAAGATCGCTGCTGCTCCCTGGCCATTATGCACTTCATCTTGCAAAGTCATTGAATCAACTGTATTACGCAGAGAAAGAAATTTTGGTAAATTCATTGCTGTCCTTGGTTTACAAATCTTGTGGTACCACAAAAGGAGCAAGCTGATGCCAGTAGTTCCCACCATGATGCCAAGTATCAGTTCTTTGTTCGTGGAATGAGGCATTTCTTGAGTTTTTATTTCTAAAATTAAAAAAACATAAATGTAAATGAATGTTTTCTGTCTTTGCCCAAGACAAAAAAAAATAGAGCTTTTTTAATCAACAAAGTCTACATCATCACATATACACAAAAAATACTTGATAAATCATAAACTAAAATATATTACCTTTTTAATGTATGTGGCCCAGTGGAAATACATACTTTAAGGATATTACTGAAGTGCAGGATAAAGTATCAACTTTAATTCAGAATTTGTATTTTACATGACTGATCTGATTTTTACTCTTTACCATATCTTTTTAAAGGGTGTGATAAACAGAGAAGTAAAAGCATCATTATAACTTTTTGAAAAAGCTATTTAAGAAATCAAATTACTCTTGTGTCTGAACCTTTTATATTTGTATAAAATTAACTAGTGTGCAGATTTCTGGGTCTTATCCCAGGAAGGCCAAAAAGAAGCTCTTCCTTAGCACCTAGTTAACATTTAAAGTTAAATTTAGAATGATAAACATTTTAAAAGCCCAGGGCTTTGAAATACAAAATACATTAGGGAAACTTCGGCAAGTTTGTAATTCACCCCATCTCTGTTTTTTTTTCAATCTGGAAAGCAGAAATGCTAACATATGCGCAGGCTTCGTCTTTCTTCCTTTGACCCAGAATTATTCTGCTCCTCACATTTCTATTTCTGTCTGAAGTCTTAATGTTTCCCTTTTCTTTCAAATGTTCTTTTTAAAAAAGTAACAAAAAAGTCATTTCATTGACTCCTTTCTCCTTCTGAACTTTCATCTTTTTGCGTTCAGGGTCCAAGCTCCGGCCCACCTAATTCCATATAAACTCAGCTACTTTGGACTAAATGCACCATAATCTTTCTTTAGTATATCCCATCCTCACTAGTTTTACTGCTTATCTCTTTTCTTAAAGTCAGGAGACCATTAAAAAATAATAATAATATAAATCCCCCTTTCTTTCTGAGACTTTAAAATGGCAATAAGTATATTAGAACTTTGATGAAATTTTGTATTCAGAGTAAAATATAGTAAGACTTTTAAAAAATAGACTGTGAAATTCCCAAAACTGTTTTCCCATCAATTTTCCCTAATTTGTAAAAAGGTAAACACCTGTATTAAATTATGTTAGCAACTTGGGAGAAATGTTACAAATAATGGTAAACTGTTTATTACAGGAAACTAAATTTGTAAATTTTTTGGTTTTTCCTGACACTTTCTCAAGGAGCAGATTATTACAGCACTGCCACCTATGATCCCTGAAAAAAAGGAAACAAATGAGGTAAATCCTTTAATCTCCCCAGATTTACAATTGGAGACAACTTCTGGACTAGGGCACAGGGAGGGGAAAACCAAATAGAGCCTGGTAGTCTCACTGCATTGAACAGAGATCAGAGAAACTGAAGCACCTAGAATATGTGTGGCATAGCACTGAAGATGGGTGAGGAATGCAGAGAAAGAGCTATTTGGATCCTATATTTCATTGCAGGTCTAAGTGTAAAAGAGAACTACTGATTTTAAAATAATAGTCTTCCAGAAATAGGCTCAGGTGTTGGTAAATATTATACTCGAGATAATTAAAAATGCCTTCTTCTGAAGCTAAGGGTTCCTTGGGTTTAATCTGGCCTGCCTGACCTCAGGATATAGTTTGCCTGGAATTATTATTTTTTTTTAAGTAAAAGTATTTTCATCTAATTGGTAAGTGTGAACTGTAAGTCTAATACTGGGTTGTCGGAAAAGTCATGACGCATGTACGACAGATGGCACTAGTTCATTTTTGGAAGTACTAGAGTCTTTCGCATGTATGTTATTGCTATGTCATTTGACAGCTGACAGTTCTAGCTTCATTCTAAAAAAAATTGAGTGATTTGGTTGAGTTTGGGAGATTTTACAACAAGTTGAAAATGGAAGGCCAAACTGTGCATTTTTGCCATATTTTACTGTTTTACTTCCATAAAGGGAAGAATGTGCATGAAGCTTGTGAAAAGTTGCATCAAGTTTACAGTGACAACGCTCTACAAGAACATCAGTGCCAACGATGGTTCACGAAATTCCGTGCTGGTGATTTTGATCTCAACCACGCTCTTTGGTCAGGGAGGCCACCAAGGTTGATGATGACAAAATAAAGGCATTGATTGAGTCAGACCCACGTTACATGACACGAGTGACTGCAGAAACATTGAACATCCATATTCAAGTGTTCACGACCACCTGAAGAAGCTGGGATATGTAAGCAAGCTCGATATTTAGGTTCTGCAGGAACTCAAAGACATTCATTTGACTGAGCATATAAACATCTGCAATATGCTCATTAAACGTGAGGAAAATGATCCTTTTTGAAGCGACTGATAACTGGTGATGAGAAATGGATTGTTTACAACAATGTGGTGCGCAAACGGTCTTGGTCCCGATGTGATGATTCGCCTCAAANAACCTCAATCCCGAGGTTTATGAGAATTTCCCCTTTCCTTTTCTTTAAAGCTTAACACCTCTGTTTTTATCCCTAAATCACATATTGTTTCACTTGGGCTGATTTTAAATAAAAAAAAATTTTTTTTTCAGTTAACAGTGTGTTTGTGACATAAATCCACGTGGACTCATGTGTTTGTAGTTAATTACATTGTATGGACATGTGTACATGGATTTATCTCCTCTCTTACGAACATTTAGAAAGCTCCTAGGTTTTGGTTTTTTGTTTTGTTTTGTTTTTCTATTAGAACAATGCTTCTGTGAATATTCTTTATCTGGAGAATTTTGCAAGAGTTCTGCTAGGGCATACATCTAGGAGTAGAATTGCTGGGTTTATGTGTATGTACAATAAGCACTAGCTATAAAAAAGACTGATAAATTAGATCACATCAAAATTAGGAACTTTTTAAAGATAGTGAAAAGGCAGGCCACAGAATAGGATAAGATTTTTGAAATATATATAATTGGTAAAGGACTGGTATCCAGAGTATATGAAGAATCATGAATCAATAAGAAACAGGCAGACAACCTAGTAGAAAAATGGTCAAAAGTCACAAGCACTTCACAAACAAGCAAATCTAGAAGACCACTAAAAATATTAAAAGATACAAAACCTGATGAGTTATCAGGGAAATGCAGATTAAAGCCACAAAGAGATACCAGCACATAGCGTACAGACTAATCAAAATTTAAGAATAAGTCAATATCAAGTGCTGTTGAGGTTATGGGACAACAGAAACTTCTATTCTTTGCAAAGTAAATGGCATGATCACCCTGAGAAATACTGACATTATCTAACTAATCCTCGCTAGGCTCTGGTATCAGAGGACAGGTTGAAGAATGCAATGGAATCTGAGGAGCCAAGTGTCCAGAACTGAAGTGGGGCTATGAAGGGAAGTTTGTGGAGAGGTTTCTCGGAGCTTTTGCCTCAGTGCAGCTATGGCCTCTGTGGGCTCACAGCCAAACATGGGATGGGTTGCAGGACCTGCAGTCTGGAAGAAGAGCTGGGCATGGAGCAGAGGAGAGTGAGGACATGATACAGCACTTTATCTCATCACAAAAACCCTCGGAGAGGAAGGGCTCCTGCTTCACTCACTCATGATTCTCAAAATCTTGTCCAAGNGTCCTGATCTTTGTTCTTCATATAAATAAATGACCTTTGAAAAACATAGTCAAAATACGTCATGACTTTTCCAACAACCCTATATCTATCCATTCTCATCCAGAAGACTTGCCAGCAGTAGACTCAGATCAATTTGTAACTTCAGCTGAAGTTGTAAGTAATTATTATTAGCTGTTCAATTTTATTTCCACACACACACACACACACACACAAAGTCACAAAATTGGGCTGGCTGAGTGGCTCAGTTGGTTAAGAGCTCGCTCAAGAGTTTGAGCTCTGAGCAACAGCAGTTCAATTCCCAGCCCAAGCTGAGCTGCTGCTGAGCTGCCAACAGGTGGCAGGATGGCTCAGCTAAAAAAAAATAATAATAATAAAAATCACAAAACTAAATTCTTTTAAAAGATTATGAAAAAGCAATAGCTATCAAAGCTATTATATGCCCATGACTTATATTTGCATCACACCTAATAATTATGCATTAAGCTTGATCATGTTGGTTCTTTTCTGTCAGTAAAAAGATTAATGCAGGATGTTCATATGTTGATGTAGAGATCTATTAAAAGAAATATTCCTATTCTGATTGCTTTCTTGGCTGATTCCTCGTGGGCCTTCCTTGAACTTCACATGAAAAACACAGTCTAGTTCGAATTTTTTTCACTGAAGTAAATGAATGGAAGTCAAAATCTACCTATGAAGATCTTATCCCTGAGATGGTACAGGTGGGATAAAGTATCAAATTTTGTTTTACCTTTTCTTTAGGAATTATCCCAAATCATCTCCTTGAGGCAGGTCCCATTATGATCTCTATTTTGCAGATAAGCAAACTGAGGCACACAGCTGTCAAGTCATTTACCCAGGGGTCATCCAACTAGGAAGCAAGAACTGTCACCCTTGATAACTGTGCATGATGAAGATTCAGAAAGCATCAACAAGGGCATGAAGGAGAATGCTGGCTGGCAGAGATGTTCAGAGCTGAAATACAACTTCAGAACTATGAAAGTGCGGGAGGAAAAAAAACTAGAATCACTGGAGTAGGTATTGGTTTTAAACAACCACAATTAGAGACTAATAGCCCAAGCCATGTTTGAGTTTTACATCAATATAAAATGAATGTGCTTCTAAGCAAATAATTTGAAAAATGCCACTCATTAAAAATGCTAATGTAGAAAACTAATAAATTAGAACACTTGCTTGCCTGCAGTATAACTTCAAAGATTATATTACATCATTTATATAACTTTTATACACTTAATTTTCAAACTAGTAAATATTTGCACTGTAGTATAAAAACAGTAATTTAAAAAATCTATTGACTAGCTAATTAGATGCTAATTATTATTCCTGTTACAAGTTTCAATTTGTAATTCGCTAGTAATAATAATGGGAAACGATAGACATTATTTTAATGTTATTGGTATCCAAAATTATTGTGTAATAAAGATTATTCAGAGATGAGAATCAAGAATTCTACTGAAATAAATTGTCAAAATGCTGACATTAATTTCTACGTTAAAATTTCTCTGTAGAAACTGTCATGAAAAATTAACTTCAAAAATTTTCGTATTCCAGTTTAAATTAACTTTTAGATAAAAATTATGCTTTACTAAGTTAATTATAATGCTTTTAGCAATATCTACTATATATATTCACTTGATTCAGATTCTTGGGGGAAATACATATATAACTGATAAACTCAGGGGATGAAAAATTTTGCAAGAGGAGTAAAGGAACATATGGGTCAGACAAGCCTGAGGTTTAAGTTTCCCAAAGGAATCGCTCTGAGGCCTTGAATTAGTGATCAGATTCCCTACAGCAACTTGGATAACCTGATACTTCTAAGTGAATTCTAATACTCATATTTCATCAGGTTTTATTTTTCCAATTTTATAATTTCTTTTTAATTTGGGGCTCTCTGATGATCGGCTTATTTGCAAATGTTTGTCGCACTGAAAATCTGGTCTTCGTTTTGCGTGAAACAGGTAGAGAATCCGAGTTTGTTTTGAGCAAAACAAAGAAAAAGCGTTTGCGGGAGGCTGAAAGGTTTAAGATCCAAGGAGCCAACTCGAGCGTCTCTGGCAGAAACTCAGCAAGCTTTGCAGAGACCTTCCCGGCAGAGGCAGCACACGGCCCACTCCCCACGCACCCCGCAACGGGCTGGGCTGTGGCTTTCGAGGCGCCGATTCGGCATGGGCTACGGCCACGGGGGGAACCGCTTGCATAGCCCACTCTGCCGCGGGGAGAGCGAACGGCAGAACCCATGGGCATGAGAACGCGACAGTCCGAGGACGTCTACGTGACCCGGAAGTGCAGCGGCCGCCACCGGAAGTGCTGCCTCGGCCCTGCGCACGCCCCTGGCCGCGTACAGTCCGGGCCAGCCGAGCCGAACCGCCCACTGCCCTCTGCACGCACCTGTGCTCGCTGCACCGGCCTCTCTGCGGTCGAAGACCGAGGACCGGGAACCTGCGGGCGGGGAGGGTGGTAGGGAAGCGGCGAGCAGACAGTGGTTCCGTGTCCGCGGGTCCCCAGGTCCGGCGCCGTGGCCGCCGAGTCCTGACCTAAATAGCGGAGGCGTGGGGGTGGGGAGCCCGCAGCCTCTCGCCCCGCGGGATCCGCCTCTTTGCGTGGTGTTAACTCACCTGGGACAGACGGCTAGCGCACCTTTTGTAAAAGAAAACTGCCCCGCCGGGCCGCTCGGCCCTCACCGGACATTGTTGCCCGGATGCCGCCTTCCCTAGAAGCCCGTCCCCCCTCCCCAGCACCCTGGCTCCGGGCCACCGGCGTCCGGCCCCGCAGGAGGCCTTGTGCAAGCTTCCACCTCCCAGCGCGTTTCCTCCCATCGCTGCCGCAGCCCGGTTCGTTCCCGCGCCCAAGCCCAGCTACCCGCCCCTGTTAGTACCCTTGTTTTGTGCCCTTTTCTAGGCACAACCTTGAACCTTCCTCTGCATGGCAGTGTCAGACTGATGTCTTGAACTAATTAGTAATCATGTCCACAGCCACGTTTTCCTAACTTTTAACTTATGTGCCCTTTTAATGAGCCCCACCCCCAACTTTGTCGTCCCCGCGCCCTTCTAAGTAGCCGTCACATGAAAACCACCATCTTCTCAGATCCTTAACCTTGGAGATTTTACCCAGCTTCGCTTCTCTCGGTTTGTGTAATGAAAATGAAATGCTGCCAAATAAAACACTTAACAGCTGCGCTTTCATTCCCATCTGTATTGCCCTCACTGAGTTTTAAATTTAGGCTTGCAGAGAACTTAATCTTGATTACTAAATTCCTCACCAATGTACTGAATGAATTAAAAATGGGTACGCTCAATCAAATCTATAAAAAAAATCATATGGCTAATTTTACAATTCATACAATGCTCTTTACTGATGGGGATTCTATAGGCTCTTTAATACTATAAGATGGTTTTTGAGCTTCAAGCAAGCAGCATTCGAGAGTAATTAATCCTAGCCATAGTCATTTTATTAAAACTAAGTTATATTTTGGAAGACATCAGACTAACTTCTTAAGATTTGAAACTACTGAAGATTTGAAGCACTTTCCAAGAACCACTGTTCACTCCTATTTTATTATG